AGAGTCTGACTACTGCTGCTGTCACCACTACAGGTATACCTCGTACCTTTAACGCTTGTGTCAGTTCATCTCCCCTTTGGATGTTGGACTCGGGTGCGAATGGTCACATGATAGGTTAGGCCTATCACTTCACCATTTTTGACAAGCAGTTACATACACAGGTTCAGTTAGCATATGGGACACATGCCCCTATTGTTAGTAGGGGTACAGTCCGCCTCCCAAATGGCCTTACATTACGTTCAATTTTTCATGCGCCAAAGTTGGCCATGAATCTATTATCTGTACATCAGTTAGCCAGAGATTTTCACTGTACGGTTGTATTCTTATCTGATTCGTGTTATTTGCAGGACCTGAGTACCAGGAGGATTATTATCAGGGGACATGAAAAAGATGAACTGTATTATCTTGACAATCCACCTCCAGTTTCACCAATTCCTCCACCTACATCACCTGCACGTGCTTTGTCTTTTTCTGTTCCTAGCTTGCATGCTAGTATTTTACCTAGTAGTTGTCGTTATGATTTTTCGTCACAAACTGTGCAGTTGTGGCATGACCGTTTTGGACATACAAATTTTAAATATTTATGTATGTTATTTTCTGCTTTGAGCAATGCTTGTGTTGGTGGTAAACTTGACTGTGTTATATGTTCCCTATCGAAACATGTTAGGGCCAGTTATATTCCTCGCATGCACCAGTCACATAAGCCATTTGACCTAATACACTCTGATATTTGGGGACCCTCTCCCATTACTGCTTTGTCAAGTGCCCGATATTATGTGACATTTATAGATGACCATACCCGTTGTACTTGGGTCTATCTTTTGTATAGAAAGTCTGATGTACTTCCTATAATTACTTAGTTTTTACAAATGATTAAGACACAATTCGATGTTATTATTCGTGCTCTTCGTTCGGATAATACCAAAGAATATGTGTCTGATGCCTTAGTGTCTCACCTTTTTTCTCAGGGTATTCTTCAACAACTCACTTGTCCATATACTCCTAAGCAAAATGGTGTTGTTGAAAGGAAAAATAGGAGTTTGATAGGGATGGTACATTGTATGCTTAGAGGCATGAGGGTACCAAAATCTTATTGGCATTTTGCTGTTTTGACTTCTACCTTTTTGTGCAATCGTACGCCGAGTCGTGTTCTTCAGCATAAGGCTCCCTTACAGGTCTTATTTCCTGAGCGGACACTTTTTTCGGTCCCCCTTCGTGTTTTTGGATGCACATGTTTTGTTCAGGATCGGTCTCCTACTCGTCATAAACTTGATGATAAAGTGATTCGTTGTATCTTTGTGGACTATTGTCATCAATCTAAGGGGTATCGGTGTTATGATCCTATCAGGCGCCGTATGTATCACAGTCTAGATGTTACATTTCTTGAGCATATTCCTTATTTTTCTCCCAGTCCTGTGTATGCCCCTCTAGTTGATGATACTCCTTTTGATTTTCCATTACCACAGGAGTTAGAGTCATTGGTCATTATCCCTACAGGGTTATCTGTTTCTCCTCCTTCAGAGCCACTCATCTCTGTCAGTACAGAATTACCAGTCTCTCTTTCTTTGCAGGTGTATGTTCGTCGCCCTCGCTATCATCACCCTACTGATGTCTCCTCTACCTCAGGCGATGCAGGTAATACTTCTCAGTTTGTTAAGCATATTGATGCACCTGTTGTTAGTACTGATGAGATTGCAGGTGCTGAGCCAGTTCATTTACCTGATGAGACATTATCAGTGGAGAAGTATGATTTAGGGCGTCGTTATCTGCGGCGTGATCGCCGTCCAGTTGATCGTTATGGTTGGACCGCCAGGATTTTATATCTGATCTCTGCTTATGTTTCTTATGGTGATCTGTCTCCCACATTTCGAGCTTATACTATAGCCTTATCAGATACGCCAGTTCCTCACTCTATTTCGGAGGCTATAGGGGGGCCCCAATGGGTTCTTGCCATGCAGACAGAGATGGACGCTCTTCAGCGTAATCATACATGAGATCTTGTCTCCTTACCTTCAGGGGTGAAGCCTGTTGGCTGTCGCTGGGATTACACCTTGAAATTTCTTGCGGATGGTACTATTGATCGTCACAAAGCTAGACTTGTGGAGAAGGGCTTTACTCAGGTACCAGGTCGTGATTTTGGTTCTACATTTGCCCCCGTGGCAAAATTGACTACTATTCGGTTGATTATTTCTCTGGCTGTGGAGTACTCTTGGCCTCTTCATCAATTAGATGTAAAGAATGCGTTTCTTCACGGTGATCTGGACGAGATTATTTATATGGATGCACCACCGGGCTTTTGTGGTGAGGGGGAGTATGCTGGAAAGGTATGTCGACTGCGTAAGTCTCGTTATGGACTGAAACAGTCGCCACGAGCCTAGTTCTCTCGCTTTAGTGATGTAGTCGTACGATTGGGGTTTACCAGGTGTCATTCTGATCATACCTGCTTTATTCGACGAAATATTTCTAGACAGTGTGTCATTCTTCTGGTATATGTTGATGATATTATTATTATTGGTGATGATATTTCTGGGACTGCGTAGGTCAAGATAGACCTTGGGAAGACCTTCGATGTGAAGGACTTTGGATTTCTGCGATACTTTCTTGGGATTGAGGTTGCCCGTAGCGGTAGGGGTGTTGTTCTTTCTCAAAGAAAGTATGTTTTGGATCTTCTTTCAGACACTGGGATGTTGGGGTGCAAACCGACATCATCACCCATGATTCCAAACCTGAAGCTTACTGCTGAAGGTGAGGAGTTGAAAGATCCGATAGTTTATCAAAGATTGGTAGGTAGACTTATCTACTTAGCCAATACTAGGCCATACATTTCATTCGCAGTCAGCCGAGTTAGTCAGTTCATGCACAGGCCATGTCAACCTCATCTTGATGTAGTTTATCATATTCTTTGATACCTCAAGTCTTGTCCTGGACTTGGTTGTTTTATGTATCAGGATCTTAGACCGGTTCTCTAGCCTGTTATTCAGATTCAGATTATGGGGGAGCATGTGATGGTTGATCTACTACGGGCTTCTGTGCTTTTCGAGGGACTCATCTTATCTCTTGGAAGAGCAAGAAGTAGACAGTTGTCTCCTGCTAGTCAGCAGAGACAGAGTATCCGGCACTGACACTTGGCACGTGTGAGATTATCTAGTTACGATCGATTCTTGGTGAGTTGGGTTTTTCAGTGACCTCTCCTTCCACATTATATTGTGATAATCGATCTGCTATTCAGCTCACTTCTGACTCTGTACTACATGAAAGGACGAAGCATATAGAGATTGATGTTCACTTTCTTCGGGAGAAGGTTAGTAGTGGTATTGTCACTCCATCGTTTGTGGGGACCAGTGATCAGGTTGCAGATGTTTTTACCAAACCTGTCACTCTGTCTATTCTTCGGGACTCCATTGTCAAGCTTGGCTTAGTTGACATTTTTGCGCCTAGCTTGAGGGGTAGTGTTGGAGATATAGTAGTAGCCTAATTTATTATGGTTTTATTAAATTTTTCTTTTTTTACCTTTTTGATAACTCTCATTGACTATATATACACGGGCTCTACATTTAGTTTGAATCCCTTTTGGACTCACATATTTCTCTAGTGTTTTAAAGTATAAGAAAAAGGATTAGATTTTGGGTTGTGAGAGATGGTATTGGCTTCGATTTTGGTTTTGATTTATGAATTTTGATTTTGGGTATGTTATCAGTATATAGGTTTTCATATGAATATATGTTTATGATCAATGGTATGTGTTTAAATGTTGTGGGATTGATCATTGAAGGAAAAGAGTTGAGGAAGAGGTAGAAACAAAAAACCAGTTATGTCAGTCTTTTATCGGTAGGAAGTAGTGTCCTACTTATAGAACAACATTCGGTAAGAAGGTTTACCTGTAGGACTTCTACCGGTTGGAACTTGAACTTTTTCCTTTTTTATTTTAGTGCCTCTGGTTCGTTAACTACTCAACCTCAAACCTTCTTTAAACAAGTTAAGTAGGCTTACCCTATAACAATTGTTTGACTCTATCATTGATAATAGGTTAAGATTATTATCTCTAGTCCCAAAATAAATGACATACTTTTTATTAAATAAAAAATAATAATTAAAATATGCATAAAATAATGTCGACAACCTTATAGCAATACCAAAATAAAAAAGGATTAATTACAAATTACATTCTGAAAGATTGTTCGAATCTCAATTTACACCCTTAAAGATTAAAATTCATATCAATATACACCTCTAAAGATTAAAAATCTTAATTTACACCCTCAAAGATAGAAATTTATATCAATGTGCACCTAAAACTAAATTGATAAATTATACCTAGATCCCCTCATACTTGTCACTTAATCATTTGGACCCCTTTATAAAATAAAGGGTAATATGAAATTATAATTTTTTATTAAGATAAAATCATATTTTTCAACAGCTATAAAATCCTAATAAAAATACTCTCAATCTAAAATGTCCCCCCAATTGGGTATTCAAATAATTATGTTTAAGTGATATATTGCATTGCATATAAAAAAATATTATATAAATATTTACATTCTTGATTTTGAACTTTAGAAGTATATCAGACCTACAAAATATAGGGTAATATGAAATTATAATTTTTTATTAAGATAAAATCATATTTTTTAACGGTTATATTAACAGATATTAACGAAAAAGGGTTACGTATTACACGTGCAGAAACGTCATGAGACGTAAGAGTAATATTTATCAATTTAATTTTAGACAGCAAACTGACGGCGGTTAGTTTTAAGTGTATATTGATACAAATTTTTATCTTTGAAGGTATAAATTAAAATTTTTAATTTTTAGAGGTATAAATAAAAATTCAAATAATCTTTTGCAGTACAATTTACAATTAACCCAATAAAAAAATCGTAGCTTCGCCCACTTGACACTTCCCCCGTTTTACCAAAACCAAAATACCACTATCTGATACAAAACCAAAAACCGGGTCCGAGTCGGGACCCACTTTGGCCCTTTCCTATAAAGGCACATTTTCAGGGTTTGTTGACTCCCATTACTGTGACTAACCTCTAAAAGCTCGTACCAATCCAACAATGGCCATGAGATCTGTCGTTTCTCGCATCTCTTTCCGTCGTTTTATGGAAACCTCTCGAAAATCAACTTCTGCAGGTCTTCGTTACTTCAGCGATGGCAAAGGTCGAATCCTTAGCGAAGAAGAACGTGCTAAGGAGACCGTTTACATTCATGTTCTCCCTCTTTCTCTCTCCTCTGATGCATTTATGATGTTTTCTAATAGTTATCAAATATATTGTGTTACTTATGATTATACTATGGACGGCTACGATGGAAAAAATACCCATCTGACAATCTTACCATCCCATTCAATTCTGAAACCATGATGATTGCCCATTTGTAATGAGTTTAAGTAATGCTTTTATAAATTTCATGAGTAGTTTCAGAAACAATAGTGAGAGTTGATATAATTTTGGAGGAAACTACCCAATAAAACCATTTTCTGTAATTAAATAGTTTAGAATTACTGAACACCATGGAGACCTTCTCCTCTCTAATTTGATTGTTGTGTATTGATGGATATGTATACTGATGGTTTTTTTTTTTGCGAAGAAATTGGGGAGGGAGAGGATTCTTTTCTTAATGGAGTTTCTATTTTTGTCTTTTTTTTTTTTTTTTTTTGTGTATTTTTTTTTAATGGGTTTTGTGTTTTTGGGTGTGAAGAAAATGGAGAAGGAGAGGTTGGAGAAGCAGAAGCTGAAGGAGGAGAAAGAGAGAGCAGAGAAAGAGAAAGCAGAGAAAGAGAAATCGGACAAGGTATGGACTGTAGCGGGTTTTATTCATTGTTTATTTATTTGGCTTTTGATATCTGAATCTACATGCTGCGTCTGACTGCTGAGGAATAGTTGAATAATGATACTGGTGTTTTCCTTATTTGATTTTTCTCTACTTCCTTGCAATTTGTTGATGATCAAACGCTTCAATGCTTTATGATAGTGGAATGAGGATTTGGGTGGCGCTCTTACAAGACAATGTGTCCCTGATGTAGTCTGTGTTGATGGAAATAGAAAATAACTGTTTATCCTTTTTTTTTATTAGTGAGATTGGATATATAGAATCTATCTAGCAGATCTTTCAGGAGATAATTTGCTCTTTGTATTCATTACTGCAGCTTTGTTAGCATGTTTTTTCATGGAAGCTTGTTTTTTCCATTGTTGTTGTGTGATTTGTGTGCCCTGTCTTAGATTTGTTTTGGAGGGTTGGGCAGAGTGGATTTGTTTTTCTGGAGTTGTTTTTTATTGTTCTTTTTTTTATTTGTGGGAAAACGTAAAAGTTTAAATTGCATTTGAGAACTAATGAATGAAAATTGTTCTATGCTATGTTGAGTTCATTTATTCACTTGATTGAGCAAACTTGGTTGGTCAATGGATTTTTTGTTAAGGTTGCATTTCTGTGGATGACTGTATAAAGAAATCATTCTCCACGCAGGTCTTGTCCTGTCCTTATGTTGCCACAAGTTGAAATAATATACGACTAACACATGAAGAAGGTGTAAATTGTTCTATGACATTTACATCAATTCAAAATTTCCATATTTGATGGTTGAACTTAAAGCAAGGGATTAAATGGTAAAAATTTAAGGCTTTTTTAGTTGTCGGTGAACTAAAATGTTAATCTGAGACAGAAGGCACAAGCTTATATCCATTTTAAATGTTTAAAGGATGACAACACTAAATGTGAGATGAGAGATTGAGGAGACCAATGGTTTTGGGGCTAATAGAGTTAATTATTGGAGCTCGAAGCTATCCATGGAGCCATAAGATGCATGTTCCATGTTTTGTATTAGGTCAGAGACTTAGAATTACAAAAATCCATAATTGGACTCTTGGAGCTTATATATTCTAGTGGCAAAGGTCCCGTCTCATGTATTTTTTCTTGTATTTCTCCCTTTTCTCACCAAGTCCCTCCCGTTGTTCTTTACCTTTGGTTTGAGCTGCTATAAAGAAGAGAAAGGATTTGAAAACTTGGAAGACGAGAAGAAGATGAAAGTGGGGTATCATGGAAGAAGGAGCTATTGTGCATCCATAGATGGAGTAGTTTAAGTCAATGTGGGACTAGGAAACCATTTGCAACAGGCTACATGGAAAACCTGTAAAGTTATATGGTCTAACTGATTGAGAGGATTACTTTCAGAAATAAGGAAAAAGGAAAAGAGAGAGGAGAAAAGAGGAAAGGATGGAATCAATTAACCAGCTACTTAGTTGAATATTATTAGTTAGGATTGCTTGTGCAAATCTAAAGTGAAGTTAGAGGGAACTTTCTTTTATAAAGTCTGGCAAAGATCAAGTCACTAATAATTTCGATTGCTGTAAGAATCTATTCTGCTTATTCCCTATCAAAAGAAAAAAAAAAGAATCTATTCTACTACTGATTTGCATGGGAGGTTATTTCGTTATTGCAAAACCTTGCACCTGAGGTATATGGATGATACCACAGGGGCTTGAGTGGGTGTTTCTACAGAGTTTTAGATTTACTTTATAGTGTTTTCTCTTTGCTTATGGCACATAGTCTCCTTTTTGTTTTTGACTTGCAATATTATTTTCATTGCCCAAGGGAAGATACTATCCCAGTATGTGGTTACCTTCAGCAAAAGTAACTATAGTGTGTCACCCCATGCAAGTGTTTGCATTTGCATTCATGGTTCTCATTTGCAACTGTGCTTATGTTTATATTCTTGATTGATCTGTATTCTTTTTCTTCATCAGAAAGCTGAATAAGCGACTCACAAGGGCTGAGGTGGTGTATCTATGCTGATTGGAGCAACTCTGGTTTCTGAAGTAGCCATGAGAATAAATGTAAATGACTTTGCATAACTCTTGATGAGACTCTTCGTTGTATAGATTGTGATGGCATTTCTGATATCTTGAGACTTCAACTGCAATGACCTGTGTTCTGATGTTCTCTTTGGCATTTTTTATGGCTTCTGTGTCATTTTTTTTCCTTTGAAGTTATCTTGGTCAGTAGTTTGTTTTATCTTTGTATTTGCCTAGTGTCATTGTTATTTGTTGTTGCTTGCAATGTGTTCATTGCCTACTTAGACTATTACACATGAGTGTCCCGTATTAGATGAGGTTGTTAGCTCTGTGGCAGACAAGCCTCATTAAAAGTCAAGGACACAGCCCCTAACACACACATAATCCAGAGCTTCCCCAGTAAGTACCCGGCCTGATGCTAATAGTAATGGTTTTGAACCTAGGGAATTTTTTATGTAAACATTGTTTTCACTGGATCCGCTGGAGCTGCTTACTACTCTGTTTTGCACTTCTAACATAATTATGCCTTGCAGTTACTCCCAAGTAGATTAGATCTGGTATGATGCATACTTTGATAGAGTTTCCGCAGGCTGCTTGTACACTGATGCTCTATACCAATGAAATTTTGTTTAGGTACCAAAAATACACACTATAATTATATATTGTCCAAGGTTTGAAAACATATTCAGCCCACAAAAACATTTTCTAATTTCCTAATTTTCAATTCGACAAACTCTCATCTGAGTGTTTTTGACACTTGAACATGAATGTGTTTTGACACTGTCAGTTGCATGTATTTGTTTTGGCACTGTAAATTGCCTATAGATCCAGGAGTCATTCTCTCCAAATGGCGGTATAATTTTTTACCTTTGATCTGTCTCATCCTGCTATGGATGGGAGTCTTGGTATGGTGAGTTTTAGTTACTTTAGGTCTCGAACGACTTTCCACCTTTGGAAGAGTGCTTTTTATGCAGTCTAGAGCAATCATCTGGCTCTGTGAAGTGGTCTGAGATGTGAAGCTCTTTGTGTAATGCTCAAATTGAGTGAAATGTTTGTGTTTAACCCGATGGCTTGTTAACTGTTAGTGGAACTGTTCCCCGAAGAATTATCTGGCGCGAGTCTTCTTCCTTGGTAATGATAGTGCTGGCACCATGTTAGTTCCACAAAGTCGGGTATTTCAACCCAATTTAAATTCAGGCAGTGTTCGAACTGGATTCTCTGGTTTTTGGGACCTAATTCAAACCAATGTAGCTTTGAGCCTGAAATAAAACATGGTTTGGTTCTTGTTGGAGTATAGATAGTCTAGGTTTATTAGGATTTATTTTTCCTTTTTTACCCTTACTATGATTTTTATATTTTGCCTATATATACGGGGTTTTACTCTTAATTTGAGTATCTCCTTTTACTCACAATTATTTTAAGTTGGTATCAGAACCATACATTAACCCTACACCAAACCCTAACCTTCTCCCCAACCTTAGCCTCCACCGAGACTGCCTCACCGGCAAACTGCCTTTAAGCAAAAACCAGCCACCGCCGAAACCACCCTGGCCATCAGCTGCCTAGCGAAACCGACCAAACCAACGACAAAACCAGTCCACCTACTGCCCATACCAGGCCACATCGACATCCCCAAAGTCCATACACCGACGGCCCAGGCAACAAACAGTCTTCCACTGACTGCCCATCCTCATACCAGTCCTACACTAACTGCCTATCCTTATACCAGTCCATACCAGCCCCTAGCCGCATCCCAGACAAACCAGTCCATACCAGTCCACCACAACCTGCAACAAACAACCTTAATCCACGACAAAGCAGCAACCTCAATCCATACCAGTTCACCAGTCCATACCGATTCTCACCTGCAAAATCGAATACCCACCTGCACTGACAAATCCCAGCGACAGCAAATACCCATCACCGACAGCAAACAAACAACCAGCCCATAACCATATGCCAAACCAGCCCATAACCATATGCTAAACCAGCCCACTGTCCAACCGACTGGCCATATATATCCTGTCCCGCGCCCTTTACCCATTCTCCATATAATAATAATAATAGATCCAATCCAATAAACCCAATAAAACCACTCCAACTGCTAGATCATTGTCCAGCCCACTGCTGGGTCACAACTTTCGTTGTGATTTTATTCTAGGACTTTTTTGGGAGGGAGCGGATCCTCTTTTCTGTTGATCTGCCCTTGATGCAGTAGATCACTTATTTATATATTTTGAATTTCTGGGCACCGTGACTTGATTATTTGGGAGCTTTTTGGACCTTCCCTATTTGTCGCTACTGTTCGACTGAAGGTATATTGTTCTCCCTTATTTTATTCCTCTATTTATCTTAGAGTTATTTTTCTGTCACGGGTGCCCTAGTATTGTTGTTGATATGGCTACTACTGAGGGACTTGAGAACCCTACTGTTGACACCTCTACCGTTGAGACATCTATGAGTACTTTCACTTTTATGTTTGACTAGTATACAGTGCCTACTAGCACAGTTGCATTACCAGCATTACCGGGCATGATCTCTCAAAAAGTTACGGCACAATTGTTGAATGGTCGTAACTTCGCTGAGTGGTCACGCTCATTCCAGCTTTTCTTAGGCCGTGAAGGGAAGCTTGGTTGGCTGACGGGATCTCACCCAAAGCCAGCTGATGCCGACCCTGGATATTCTGCATGGTTCTCTGAAAACTGTGTCATTCTTGGATGGTTATTTGGCTCAATGGAGCCCTCTGTTTGCAGGATCCACCAGTTTCATAGCTCTGTTCCGAAGCTATGGAGCGCATTATCAGAAATGTATTCTCAGTCAAGACGGGGAGTTCGTGTTTATGAGCTTTCTCAGGAGCTCTCATATGCTCGGCAGGGAGATATGACCGTTCAGGATTATTATGGCTATTTGACCCAGCGCTGGCTTGAGTATGAGTCTCTACGTCCTCTTGCTGCTATTCCGAAGATAGAGCCCGAGGGAGCAGCATTCTTGCATACTCGAGAGCAGGAGGATATGATTCACAAGTTCCTTATGGGGCTTCGTGATGAGTTTGAGGGACCTCGTTCTCAGATCTTGTCGATGTTGACATTTCCTTCTCTTTATGAGGTGTATGGGATGATTGAGCAGCATGAGCGTCGAGTCCGTATTGCATCACTTCCAGTTGCAAGCTTTGCCTCCTTCGATTGACCAGATGACCCTTGCAGCTGCTGTAGGGTCCCGTTCAGGATCCTTAGTCAGGGATAGGCAACGCTCAGACTAGCGCCGTCAGGGCGTCCCAGATCAGCGCAGACGGGGGATTCCCGTCAATGTGATTATTGTGGCCGACCAGGACATCTCAGGGCTACTTGCTGGAAGCTCCATCCAGAACTTAAACCACCTTCTCGCAGCCGTACTGTTGCTATTGCTGAGGTACCACCGCCCACTGCCGCCACTCCTGCTACTGCTCCTCCTTGGCAAAGTGATATGGATGCTATCACTTCCCGATTAGATATACTTATGTCTGCTCTGACTTCTCAGAGTCTGACTACTGCTGCTGTCACCACTACAGGTATATCTCGTGCCTTTCACGCTTGTGCCAGTTCATCTCCCCTTTGGATGTTGGACTCGGGTGCGAATGGTCACATGACAGGTGAGGCCCATCACTTCACCACTTTTGACGAGCCATTACATACACAGGTTCAGTTAGCAGATGGAACACATGCCCCTATTGTTAGTAGGGGTACAGTCCGTCTCCAAGATGGCCTTACATTACATTCGGTTTTTCATGCGCCAAAGTTGGCCATGAATCTATTATCTGTACATCAGTTAGCCAGAGATTTTCACTGTGCGGTTGTATTCTTATCTGATTCATGTTATTTGCAGGACCTGAGTACCAGGAGGATTATTATCAAGGGACATGAGAAAGATGGACTGTATTATCTTGGCAATCCATCTCCAGTTTCACCAATTCCTTCACCTGCACCTGCTTTGTCTTTTTCTGTTCCAAGCTTGCATGCTAGTATTTTACCTAGTAGTTGTCGTTATGATTTTCGTCACAAACTGTTCAATTGTGGCATGACCGTTTTGGACATACAAATTTTAAATATTTATGTATGTTGTTTCCTGCTTTGAGTAATGCTTGTGTTGGTGGTAAACTTGATTGCGTTATCTGTTCCCTATCAAAACATGTTAGGGCCAATTATATTCCTCGCATGCACCAGTCACCCAAGCCATTTGACCTAATACACTCTGATATTTGGGGACCCTCTCCCGTTACTGCTCTGTCAGGTGCCAGATATTATGTGACATTTATAGATGATCATACCCATGTACTTGGGTCTACCTTTTGCATAGGAAGTCTGATGTGCTCCCTATAATCACTCAGTTTTACAGATGATTAAGACACAATTCGATGTCATTGTTCGTGCTCTTCGTTCGGATAATGCCAAAGAATATGTGTCTGATGCTTTAGTGTCTCACCTTTCTTCTCAGGGTATCCTTCAGCAACTCACTTGTCCATATACTCCTGAGTAAAATGGTGTTGCTGAGAGGAAAAATAGGAGTTTGATAGGGATGGTACGTTTCTGCTTAGAGGCATGAGGGTACCAAAATCTTATTGGCATTTTGCTGTTTTGACTTCTACCTTTCTGTGCAATCGTACGCCGAGTCGTGTTCTTCAGCATAAGGCTCCCTTACAGGTCTTATTTCCTGAGCGGACACTTTTTCCGGTCCCCCCTCGTGTTTTTGGATGCACATGTTTTGTTCAGGATCGGTCTCCTACTCGTCATAAACTTGATGATAAAGCGATTCGTTGTATCTTTGTGGGCTATTGTCATCAATCTAAGGGGTATCGATGTTATGATCCTATTAGGCGTCGTATGTATCACAGTCTAGATGTTACCTTTCTTGAGCATATTCCTTATTTTCCTTTCAGTCCTTTGTCTGCCCCTCCAGTTGATGATACTCCATTTGATTTTCCATTACCACAAGAGTCAGAGTCATTGATCACTATCCCTACAGGGTCATCCATTTTTCCTCCAAAGGAGTCACTCATCCCTGTCAGTACAGAGTTACCAATCTCTCTTCCTTTGCAAGTGTATGCTCGTTGTCCTCGCTCTCATCACCCTGCTGATATCCCCTCTACCTCAGGCGATGCAGGTAATACTTCTCAGTTTGTTGAGCATATTGATGCACCTGTTGTTAGTACTGATGAGATTACAGGTGCTGAGCCAGTTACTTTACCTGATAAGATATTATCAGTAGAGGATGGTGATTTAGGGCGTCGTTATCCAAGGCGTGATCGC